CACACCACCCAGCGTGGAAGAGGCCCAGTGTGGAAGGGGCGCAGTGTGGAAAAAAAATAACTGGTGGAGGGACTTATCGCTTTAAGTTGGGCTTGAATGAAGATTAAATATATATATAAACCTGCGCTAATAAGAACCACAATAGATAATCAATAAGCAAAATGAGGTGTAAAACATATAGTAGCTGAACACAAAAACCCTGATACTAGGCAATCAACAATAAATACATAAAAGTGCAGTGCTTAAAAAGTTACAAATAATCATAAGAAAACAGTGAAAAATGTGTCAAAAAAATAGTCCATCCAAGAATAAAAGAAAATAAAAGTCCCAGAGGCTGTGATAAAACAAAAGAAAACCAAAAAAAGTTGTTGTGTCACCAGCTACTACTACAGAAGGCTTACCAGAAAGGCATGACCCCTGTTAAGAGTGGTCAATCACGCTTTGTTAACCATTAGCCGCCCGGCCAATGGCCGTTTGGCGGCTTCAAAAGTGTTCCTGCATTCCGGGTGCACGCCATTTGGCGTGCTCCCGCACATGCGCAGTTTGCGCTAATGCAGAGCGGCGCAGCAGCGCGATCTGTAACCGGCCGTGCACCTCGGACACGGCCGATGACAGATCCGAGTACCGGCTCCCGTTGCTGGTACCATGTGACCTGCTGTGACCAATCACAGCAGGTCACATGACAGTTGTATACAATGGATGGCTTCATTCATGCCATCCATTGTATACTAGTGCCTAGCTGTGAATGGTCACAGCTAATCACATGCACATGTCATGTGATTAGCTGTGACCAAATCACAGCTAAGCACAAAAAAAAAAAAAAAAAAAAAAAAAGCTGAATGAATCGATTTCATTCAGGTAAATGCTTGCTTATAGCAAAGTAATTCTTTGCTATAAGCAAATTATGTAAAAAAAAAAAAAAATACTGATCACTTCCCCAAAGTAGTACAATGTTACTATGGTAACATTGTACTACTTTGGTCATAGTAAAATATGAAAAAAAAAAATCTTAAAAAAAATTAAAAAAAATGTAATAAAAAATTAAAAATAATAAAAAAATTTAAAAATATATATATATTTTTTTTTTTCATACTGTCGCCAGTCAGTGTCCCTGTTCACCGCCATGCCAGTTATATGATGACGCTGTACTGCACTGGTGACAGTATGTAAAAAAAAAAAATAGTGAAAATAATTTTTTTTCATTTTTTTCATTTTCCAAAAAATTATGACAAAAAAAATACAACTTCAAAAAACTCACCATGCCTCTTATGAAGTACGTCGGACTGTCTACTCTGCAAAAAGGGGTCATTTGGGGATATCTGTACTGTTCTGACATTCTTGGACCTCAAGAAATTAGATTGGCTGTCAGTACTTCAGGATTGATCAATTTTCAGATATATACCATAGTTTGTGAACTCTATAACTTTCCTACAAACTAAATAATACATCCTAATTTGGGTTATTTTCACCAAAGACATGTAGCAGAATACATCTCGGCCTAAATTTATGAAGAACAATTATTTATTTGTAAAGTTTTATAACAGAAACAAAGAAAAATGTGTTTTTTTTTCAAACTTTTTGGTCTTTTTTTGTTAATTTAGCAAAAAATAAAAACCCCAGCGGTGATTAAATACCACCAAAAGAAAGCTCTAGTTGTGTGAAGAAAATGATAACATTTTAGTTTGGGTACAGTGTTGTATGACCGCGCAATTGTCATTCAAAGTGTGAGAGCGCTGAAACCTGAAAAATGGCCTGGGCAGGAAGGTGTAAAATTGCACGGTATTGAAATGGTTAAACAATCCAGAAAGCCGGTTACTCGACTTGTCCTCCAGATCACCAAAACAGCAGATAAGGCTCTTCCAAACAATGGACCCTAAAGCGGAGTTCTACTCACCCTGTCAAAAAATAAAAGTCAGCAGCTACAAAAACTGTAGCTGCTGACTTTTAAAAAACAGCCACTTACCTGTCCCTCGGTGTGTCCCCTGCAGTCCGTTTCACCAGCCGTCCTGTATTCCAAGAAACTGGCATCTTCAGTGTGGGTACCCGGCTGTGACTGCTTGCGGCTGCATAGCTGGGTACCTACTGTGCATGCGCGAATAGCTCTGTGCTTCATGAATTGTCCTGTAGTCTTCTGGGACCTGTTATGTGTCCCAAAAGACTAAAGGGAGGGAGGGAGGACACCTTCTGTTTCCAATCGCCTAGGCGATCGGACCGGAAGTGGGAGCGGGTACCTGTCAAATTCGGGTACCTTCCCCCCCCTCGCCCCCCAAAGGTGCCAATCCTTAATGGAGAGTGGGGGAGCAGTCCTTAAAGCGGAACTTCCCCTTTTGGGTGGAGCTACGTTTTAATTAGAGTAGCTAAACCATTCAGGATAAGGCTTGGACTCGTAGTGGAAAACATGGAAAGAAAGAACACATAGTGTAAAACCATAATCACAACATTTATTTAACCACTAGCCTACAGGGCACTTATACCCCCTTCCTGCCCAGGCCAATTTCCAGCTTTCAGCGCTGTCACACTTTGAATGACAATTGCGCGGTCATGCAACACTGTACCGATATGAATTTTTTATCATTTGCTTGTGACAGATAGAGATTTACTTTGGTGGTATTTAAACCCTTCTGGGGTTTTTATTTTTTCTTAAACAAACCAAAAACCACTGAAAATTTTGAAAAAAAAGTTTTTTCTTAGTTTTTGTTATAAAATTTTGTAAATAAGTGATTTTTTCTCCTTCATTGATGTCCGCTAATGAGGCTGCAGTGATGGGCACTGATAGGTTGCACTGATGAACACTGATAGGTGGCACTGATGAGGTGGCACTGATGGGCATTGACAGGCGTCACTGATGGGCACTGAAAAGCAGCACTGATATATGGCACTGATAAATCCAACACAACAAACACTTTACTCCTGCGCTAGGAAAGGACTCAGTAGACCCAGTAGAAATGTTCTGGAATTTTCTGGAATATGCACTGCTTGCTGCCCTCAACAGACCAGGGTGGTCCGAATACACTGGATACACTGGCTCTGTGGAAGAAGTTGTGTCTTCGAAATGCGTTAGCCAGTTGGTCATCCAGGGTTCCATCGTATGGACTCAGATGTTGTTTGGATCATACACCTTGTTCAGTTTGACATGCCTGTGTTATTATGTCCATTGTGAGTATGATACCTATTTTTGTTTCTTTAATAAATTATTGTAAACGATAATGCACTAGGTCGGCGCGCCCTTTTTCTGTTTCTCCATATGGCACTGATAGGCGGCACTGACTGTCACTGTTAGGTGGCACTGACTGGCACTGATTGGCAGCACTGATAGGTGGCACTGATTGGCATTGATAGGTGGCACTGATGGGTGACACTGAAAGGCAGCTCAGATGGGCACTGATATGTGGCATTGATGTGCACTGGTAGGCACTGATATGTGGCATTGATGTGGCACTGGCACTGACGGACACTGACAGGTGGCACTGCTGGGGCTACACTGATCATCAGGGCACACTGATCATCAGTGCTCTGATGATCAGTGTACATGTCCCCTCCGCAGAATGCCGATTGCCGGGTCTCCTCTCCTCTGGAGCTGTCAGCGTGACAGCTCGTGAGGAGAGAAATGATGATAACCGGCATTTTCCTGTTTACATGTGATCAGTTGTGATTGGACACATCTGATCACATGACTGAGCCGACATCTTCGGCTCTTTCCGTGGATTGGTGATCCGCTGTGTCTGAGGGACACAGTTCACCGCCGATCCCTGGGCGCTCCGGGAGCCACGCATGCGCGGTTAAATTGGGAAGAGGTCATATGATGTCCTCCCAGAACGAGAACCACCTTGCGTCCGTCATATTACTATATGGCAGGCGGGAGGTGGTTAAAGTATGGTTGCACTCACATGTAAGCAAACATCATTAGGCTTTGATTGGCAAAATAATTAAAATTTTCCAATTTCCAAAATGGCCACCAGCCGTTTGCGCAGTAGCGTGTCTGTGCGCAGCTCCACCATACACATTTCATCACAGGTAATATCATCAGGGACACACCATTTTTCACTGTTTTCTTATGAATATTTGTAACTTTTTACCAATACACTTTTATGTATTTATTGAATGAAGATTGTCAATGTGTTACGGCTGTAACCAACTGTACATGCGCCATTTATTCTACACTTTGTTAAAATGCAAGTAAATATAAATCACCTTTAAGTCTAAGTTCACACCTAAGCATTTTTTGCTGCGTTTTGCATTCTGCAGAAACGCAGTACAGCCCATTTAACCTGTCCTATGGGACAGTTTCACATCTCTGTGTTTTCACCCGGTGCATTTTTTTTAGAAAGGGATGGGGACTTTTTAAATGCAAAACGTGGCATTTTTGGTTCTGTAGACTTCAATGTAGACGCTGCAGAAAAGCATGTAGTGCGTTTTTGATGCATTTTATTCAACCCAAGTTAAAAAACAAAACACAAAAATGCATCAAAAACACACACTGCAAAAACAGATCAAACACAAACTGCATAGGTGGAGAACCTAGCCTAAAAAAGTACATTTATAGCACACAGGCCTGCACTTTACAAATGTTTTTACAGCGTTGGTTGCTTTAGCACCCTGAAACAAGTGCAGCCCCATTCACTTGAGAGAATGGGAGGGAAAACAAAAATCCAGAAGAGCCCAGCCATGTAACCTATCCAAGCTGGGTGACTACGCTTCTTCAAAACGCTTGTTTCCATGTAGAATAAGCACCATCTACACTACACTACCCCACCCCCCCTCCAACTTCGATGTGCACGGTTTGGCCGAGGTTAGTTCACATCAGACGGCCATCCAGTTGGCCTCTACAGGCAGGCAGCCATAAAGCACATGCGCAGTGTGCAAAGTCACCCACGGGAGCGAGCACGCACCCAAGGAACACTGGCATGTTGTGGGTCACGTTGTTGTCTGCGCATGTGACGTAGAAGCGGAAGTGAGCGTGACACAAGCATTAGAAAGGCCGGGGTTTTGTCGCGTTGGTAATGGCTGCTGCTATGGATGTGGATGTTCCTAGCGGAACCAATAGCAGTGCTAGCAAAAAGCGGTTTGAGGTGAAAAAGGTGGGTGAACCATTATTGATGCCGAGTAAGTGGATGGGATTGTTTGTAATCCAGGCGATCCCCGGATTACCGGTGAACGGGATGATTGGTGTCATTAACCCTCATCTTCCGGTGCCGTGACTGAGGTGGAATGTTCCCCCGGGATGATCACGGCTCCTGTGTGGAGGATCGGTGGGGTGGGATGTTGCAGTAGATGGAGCTCTGATTACAACCTGTACAGTGGAGGGAACATCACTGCGCACTAGTATACATGGGGCGGATTTTTGCCCAGTTTCTGTGAACTGGTCAGGAAACCCAGAAATAGTATTTTAACCACTTGCCCTCCTGAGGATTTTCCCCCTTCCTGACCAGGCCTTTTTTTGTGTTCTGACAACTGCGTGGTCATGCAACACTGTGCCCAAACGAAATTTACGCACTTTTTTTCCCTCACAAATTGAGCTTTCTTTCGGTGGTATTTGATCATGTATTCTGCTACATGTCTTTGCTAAAAAATATCCCAATACGTGTAAATAAATTTTTCATTATTACTAGTAATGTCGGTGATCAGCGGGACTCCGGCGGACATTCTGACACTGGGGGGAACTGGCTTGGTGTCACTTACATCCCATGTGACACCAGTTATTTATTACAGGTATTTTTATAGTGCCATCAATTTACACAGCGCTTTTACATCTATATTGTACATTTACATCAGTCCCTAACCCTTGAGGGGTGTCCAATCTACCAATACAGTGATCAGTGCTTAAAAAAAAAAAAAAAAAAATGCTGTTTTATTGGCACTGGGCAGGAAGGGGTTAATATGAGGGGGATCAAAGGGTTAACTGTGCTTTACTATGGGGCATTGTCTGTGTGCTTCACTGTAAGCACACTGCTTACAGTGCGGGCACAGCCATCCAAAGCAGTGTGCTGAGCTGACAGGGAGAACTGTTAGTAAACAAAACAGTTCTCCTTCCTGTCGGAGATGCTCCGTAATCACCAGGCACCGGCAAGTAATCACTGGCCGGGACCCGGTGATTGACAGCCGCAGTCATGAATGGCGGCACAAGTAGGGTGCGCCTCAAGCATACCTCCTACCCAGAAATGCGAAATCACGCATATATATATATATATATATATATATATATATATATAGTAATTTTGCGTACCCATGCCGCCCTGTAGCAGTATTTCTGTGTGGAGGATCGGTGGGGTGGGATGTTGCAGTAGATGGAGCTCCAATTACAATCTGTACAGTGGAGGGAACATCACTGCGCACTAGTATACATGGGGCGGATTTTTGCCCAGTTTCTGTGAACTTGTCTAGAAACGCAGTAATAGTAGTTTTACCACTTGCCCTCCTGAGGATTTACCCCCTTCCTTACCAGGCCTTTATTTTGTTTTCTGACAACTGTCTACAAATGGTGGTATATATACTGGGATTGTTTTTTTTTTTTTTTTTTTTTCATTATTACTAGTAATCGCCGCAATCAGTCGGACTGCGGTGGACATTCTGTCACTGGGGATAACTGACTTGCTGTCATTGACATCCCCTGTGACACCAATTATTTATTACAGGTATTTATATAGTGCCATCAATTTACGCAGCGCTTTACAGATATATTGTACATTTACATCAGTCCCTAACCCTCAAGGGGTGTACAATCTACCAATACAGTGATCAGTGCTAAAAAAAAAAAAAAAACAACTATACAACAGCTGAGCAGTTGTATGGGAAGGACCTTCTGTGCGGCAGCAGAGCAGTTGATTACAGGAAGGCCCCGCTGTGCGGCAGGAGAAGCAGGAGAGCAGTGAATTTTAGGAGGACCCGCTGTGCAGCAGGAGAGCAGTGAATTTTAGGAGGACCCGCTGTGCAGCAGGAGAGCAGTGGATGTTAGGAAGGACCCGCTGCGCGGCAGGAGAGCAGTGGATGTTAGGAAAAACCCGCTGCGCGGCAGGAGAGCAGTGGATGTTAGGAAGGACCCGCTGCGCGGCAGGAGAGCAGTGGATGTTAGGAAGGACCCGCTGCGCGGCAGGAGAGCAGTGGATGTTAGGAAGGACCCGCTGCGCGGCAGGAGAGCAGTGGATGTTAGGAAGGACCCGCTGCGCGGCAGGAGAGCAGTGGATGTTAGGAAGGACCCGCTGCGCGGCAGGAGAGCAAGTGGATTTTAGGAAGGACCCGCTGCGCGGCAGGAGAGCAAGTGGATTTTAGGAAGGACCCGCTGCGCGGCAGGAGAGCAAGTGGATTTTAGGAAGGACCCGCTGCGCGGCAGGGAGTTAGGAGCAAGTGGCGGCAGGAGAGCAGTGGATTTAGGAAGGACCCGCTGCGCGGCAGGAGAGCAAGTGGATTTTAGGAAGGACCCGCTGCGCGGCAGGAGAGCAAGTGGATTTTAGGAAGGACCCGCTGCGCGGCAAGTACCCCCCCGCTGCGCGGCAGGAGAGCAGTGGATTTTAGGAAGGACCCGCAGTGCGGCAGCACAGCAGTGGATTATAGGACTATCATGCAACCAGTAGTGACACTGACCCCAGCCAAATCCAAAACTAGTGAAATACAGTTAGAAAAGATGAGTAGGGAAAAAATGTCAGTGGCCTCCACCTGTAAAACCATTCCTGTTTTGGGGGTCGTCTCATTGTTCCCCCATCTAGTGCACCTGTTGTTAATTTCACTAACACCAAAGCAGCTGAAACTGATTAAACACCCCCTCTGCTACTTAACTAACCAGATCAATCTCCCAGGAGTTTAATTGACTTGATGCTATACTTTGATTAAAAAGTGTTCCTTTAATTTTTTTTGAGCAGTGTATTTCCTTCAGTAACAGATGCAGCAGCTGCAAATGTATAAACTGTATGGAGCTCTAGCTACATCAGCTTCCAGAACACAATCTAGTCAGGCGGAACATTGCTAGGCCATTCACAGGAGGCAGAGACTTTGTGTCCTTTGAATACAAAGCTTCCTCTGGTTGGCCGTGGCATGTGAATGACACCATGCACTCCACCTTGGGCAATCAGTGGAAGTTTTGTGTCTGTGGGTTAAAAATAGATTAGTAAGCACATCAAATATATATAGATAGGTTAGGCAGGAGGAATAGTTATGGTTAGACTTTTCTTCCACTTTAAAGGAAATCGATCATGTGAAAAATGTTTAGGCTGTCATTGTTGACCCCTGTTTTTGGAAAATATTAGTTGCTAAATCTCTAACACAGAACAAATATAACAAAGTTTTGTTGCTGGTTTGTGATTAAGGCTTCGTGCACACGGGGCGTTTTGATAACGCTGGTAACGTTAGCTGTGTAAAGTCACGTTTAAAAACTGAATGATCTACAGAATGACACAAACCAATATTTTAAAGCAGTGGTCTCCAAACTGTGGCAGGGGGGCCGAATGCTGCCCTTTTGCTTGCCTTTATCCAACCCGTGGGACACTATTCCTCCCACAGACATTAACAATGGGGCCTAATTCCTCCTACTGACACCAATGATGGGACATTGTTACCTACACCAGTAAATTTTCTACTCCCACTGGCCAAGACTCTCTAGTCTGAAGGACAGTAAACTAGCCTTTTGCTTAGAAAATTTGGAGAGTCATAGGATAGGTTGTGTCAAAATGGTAATAATCCAAAATACAGAGGTAAGTCCACAACAGTGACTTGATCAGAAAAAAAATATATATTTTAGAACAACTTTGGCTCCATTCATTTGAAGTTTTTCTAAAAAAAAAAAAAAAAAAAAAAGTCTTTCATATAAGATATCCTGAAAATAAACAGAAAATGAAACTGTTTTTTGGAGGAAAGAATATAAAGTATATTCCACTTGCTAGAACAAGGAATGAAACCACCAGACAATTTTTAGACATCCCTAGAACCTGCTGCTTAATTTGTGTCCTTGCCATAGAATGTTAGCATGAACTTTAAAGTGGTTCTAAAGGCCTAAGGTTTTTACCTTTATGCATTCAATGCACTATCCATTGATGTGCATGAGAGCCTCGACTCTCTGGGGACTCTCCTCCATTGTCTCCTGCTGCTGTCAATCACAGCTGTTGAGCCAATGAGGAGTGAGGGGGGCAGGTCCGAGCCACAGCTGTGTGTGAATGGACACGCAGAGCATTGGTTTGGGAGCAGGCCTGCTCTGGTGCCCCCATAGCAAGCTGCTTGCTGTGGGGGCAATTGGCAGGAGGGAGTGGCCAGGAATCCTGGCGAGGGACCCGAGAAGATGAGGATTGGGGCTCGACTGCACAGAGCAGGTATGTAGAACATGTTTGTTTAAAAAAAAGCCTGTTCAGCTACTTCACATTAGATGCAGTCCAGTGCGGGTTGTTTTTTTTTTTTTTGGATCAAAAATGCATGAACAGTGTTTTCCATATATTCCAATGGCCTTAGTTCAGAACAGTGTAGTCAGTTCCTGTGCACGAAAAAAAGTAGAATATTCAGCATTTTTTTCTGCACAAAACTGTACTGGAACATTGCAAACTGCTTCATAACTGCACCAGAATGGAGTGTGGTGTGAACCGTGGCCAAAACGTATCCGGAATGCATCAAGAGTGCATTTTTGTGGTGTGAACTGGCCCTTAACCACTTGCCTACCAGGCACATATACCCCCTTATTTACCAGGCCAATTTTCAGCTTTCAGCGCTGCCGCACTTTGACAATTGCGCGGTCATGCAACATTGTACCCATATGAAATTTTGATCATTTTTTTCTCACAAATAGAGCTTTCTTTTGGTGGTATTTAATCGCCGCTGGGCGCTTTACTTTTTGCGCTATAAATAAAAGTGCAAAAAATTTGAAAAAAAAAAGTTTCTTTGTTTCTATTATAAAATTTTTCAAACAGGTATTTTTTCTCCTTCACTGATGTGCGTTGATGAGGCAGCACTGATGGGCACTGATGGGCGGCACTGACTGGCACAACCCCTGGGCACTGGTGTGTGTGCACTGCAGGGCACAGGTGGGCGGAGCTAGTGGGTGCACTGCTGGGCACAGGTGGGCGGAACTTGCGGGTGGCACTGCTGGGCACCGATCATCAGGGCACTGATCATCAGTGCCGATCCCCGCTCTGACAACTGCCGGTTCTCGGCAGTACTTTCCTCACGATCTGACAGCGTGAGGGAAGTGCAGCCGAACCGGCACTTGCATTTCCCTCTGATCAGCGTGTCATTGGACACCACTGATCACGTGGTAAAAGGCCGCTGTGATTGGCCTTTTACCACATCACGTGATCAGCTGTGTCCGTAGGACACAGCGATCACGGAGATAGCCGGGTGCGCGTCATATGACGTCCACTCAGAACTGGCCGGCCGCAGTGAAGCCGTCATTCGGCTATCTGCGGTCGGCAACTAGTTAAAGGGTAGGTTCACCTTTGGAACATATTACATGCTTCACCCGTTTTTTGGGTGGAACATGCAACATGTTCCCATAGCTGCAGCCGCGCCTTCTTTTTTCTGGCAATGCAGGGAGAAGTTTCCCTGTGCTATCTGTCAGATTTAAAAACCGTTCTCCACCCACTCAGCCACGTCACTCATGTGAATGAGTGCCTACAAGTCCCGGCAGGCAGCCTTAGCGGCTGTGTGCTTGTAGTTTTCAATGAGTTACCATGGCACTGTGGAGATCCATGGTAGTTCATTGAAGCTTCCGGTCAGTATATCTGCTTGACCATACATTCCATACGGCAAGAAGATATTATGACAGGTCTGCAGGAGACCTACATGGCATCGTGATCTACTGTTTACCTGCAAAAAAGTGTGCATTTATTATTTTTCCCAAAAGGTTGATCCTATCTTCTAACCACTTCAGCTCCGGAAGATTCACACCCCCCCCCCCGACCAGGTAATTTTTTTTCTGATACAGCATTGCGTTACTTTAACTGACAATTGCGTGATCATGCAACACTACCCAAATTACAATTATGTCCTTTTTTTTTCCCCCCCCACAAATAGAGCTTTCTTTTGGTGGTATTTAATCACCTCTGCGGTTTTTATTTTTTGCGACCGACAATTTTGATAAAAAACTATTTTTTATTTTTGCTACTATATAACATATCCAATTAAATTAAAAATTTAAAATCAAATTTCTTCATAAATTTAGGCCAAAATGTATCCTGCTACATATTTTTGGTAAAAAGAAATACCAATAAGTGTATATTGACTAGTTTGCAAAAGTTATAGCGACTACAAACTATGGGACATATAATGGAATTGAAAAAAAAAAAAGTTTTTATACTAGTAATGGCAGTGATCAGTGACTTATGGCGGCACTGCAATATTGCGGCGGACGGTTTTACACTAACACTTTGTGGGAACCAGTGACAATAATGTAGTGATCAGTTCTAAAACTATACACTGATTATTGTACTAATGACACTGGTTGGGAAGGTTTTAACATCTAGGGTGACCAAAGGATTAAGTGTGTGCTTAGCTATGCTCTTGGTGTACACTTTGTGGTGCTGGTATAAGAGGATGTGATGGATCGTGTTCCCAGCTCTGCAGGGACACAAGATCGATCACTCCCCCCTGTCGCAACAGAGCTCTGCCTATGTAAACATAGGCAGAGCTCTGTTTTTTCCTCACTGCCCAACAATTTGCGGGTGCCGGCGAAGATACATTTGCTGGAACTTGCAGACCGGCTTCTGCTGTGACTGTTCAGTAGAAGCGATGAGGCACTCACTCCCCCCGTGACTTGGAAGTGTAAAAATCACGTATATATACGTGATTTTGCACAGGAGGACCGCCCTGTAGCACTAAAACTGCTATAGGGTGGATGTAACTTGGTTAATACCATTTTAAAGGAGAAGTGCAGCCAAAGTTTGTTTGGCTGTACTTCTCCTGTGGATCACAGGAGTGCAGTTTGTTCTGCACTCCTGTGACCCATTTCCAGTTGACAGCAGGCTAAAGTCGGCTGACGTCGCTCAGCTGGTCCAGGCTGGGGAAAGGTGTGCTGAGAGCCTGAACCAGATGCTCCCTCCCCTCCACAGTCCAGCACTCCAGTGAGCGTGCGCACGGTGGTGGGGGGCAGAGCAGATAGTGGTGACTGACAATCACTGCTGTCTGCTCAGAGTGGCTAGGAGAATTCAGCAATCCGAAGACATATGATCGCTGAGTTCTCACACTTAGAGCCGGCAGGGGACAGATGCAGCACTGGAACGATGCTGCATCCACCTTGGTAAGTATGATTGTATGATTACAGTAAAAAAAAAAAAAAAAAAAAAAAAACCCATACTTCTTTTTGATCCCAAGACCCTGCCTCTGGAAGAAAGAGGAATGAGCCCATTATATGTCTGCTGGATAGGAAGGGTATCTTTGGGACCCTAGTTCTTTTAGGCCTCCTTTACCTGCAGGTCAAGTTAAGGATGAGTGTGTTTTTTTTTTTTTTTTTTTTTTTTTTTTTTTTTTTTTTTTCCTGGTCATTGTGGCGATCGTGTGGGTTTTTTTTTTTTTTGTTCTCCTTTTTAAGATGTCTTTCTCCTCCCTTGCATTCAGCTTACCAGTTGTGCATGATAAGAATCTATGCTGACAATTTAGAACTGTGCAGAGCTTTTATCTTGGTGCCTAGCATTTGGGGTGTCTTTCTCACACTAAATAGATGTCTATAGTTATCCCAGTTGAATTTTCTGTTTTGTTTTTAACATTATTTTCAGCAATGCCACTTGTATTTGAACTAATTTGGAAATGTCATGTTTTTTTCCAGTGGAATGCAGTTGTTGCTCTTTGGGCCTGGGACATTGTAGTTGATAATTGTGCCATCTGCAGAAACCATATTATGGACTTGTGTAAGTATGTTATGCTTATGATCTGCAAACTACGTGTAATTATGAAAATAACTTAACATAGTTGCTCACATTTAAATGTTTTACTAGTAGTAATTTTGTACACCATAAATTGATTTAAAGGGAAGTTTTATTTGCTCTGTTGTTGCATTAGCTTTAAAGCTTAATTCCAGGCTTTTTCACCCAGGCATCTGGGGGGATCAGACCTGAATGGCCTATCTGTATGACAATGAATATTTTAGAAAGCTGCACTTTTTTTATTTTTTTTTTTTTTTTGTTTTTTTTTTTTTTTTTTTCCAATATCTACTGGGGCCATGTGACTCCATTTTTGTTTCTGGAAATGACGTCCTTGGCATTATTCATGCCAACATTTTGGAGAAACAACGTTCATGTAGCATTGCATATTTTACGAGATTTCAGTTGGCTCCTGAACGATCTGAAATCGGCTTAACCCTAAGTCCTGAACAGCCTTTTCATAATAACACTCATTCTGCTAGGTTGTTCAGCACGTCTTGGCCCGTCCAACATCAGGTCTCAGTTTTGCAGGTCTGTGAGACCAAAGCCTGGTCTTTAGCTTATACATTTCACTAAGTGAACACCGCTCCGAGCACTCTTTTTGGTTCTGTTGCCAAGGTTTTTTTTTTTTTTTTTTTTTTTTTTTCCTTGTACTGCTGGCACCTAACTGACATTTTAGGACAGTTGTAGGCGGTCCCACAAAAATCCTTAAGACCATCACTATTCCTGTTTGCTGTTGCATTCTGTGAAACCAACTTTCCTCCTCAAAAACCCTGTGTAACAGAACATTTTCAAATGTTGATTCTTTTGGTCAGATGACCTTCTTCCGTCTGATGTAGTCCACTGGCAGCAAGCCTCCCTTTTTTTTTTTTTTTTTTTTTTTTTTTTTCTCATTTGCCATTTTGGCTTTACTGTGCTATGCAGTAATTCGTTTGGAGGGCTTTTTGCTTCCTTCCTTTAGTCCCTTCTCACTAAAACTTGTATTGTTATATTGTTTTGTTTGGGTCCCATGTCATACCCTGTAGAAGCCATGGTTTCCATACATTGCACAGATGATGGCCGGAAAGCTTGAAACCTAAAGGAATGATTTGCATGGCTCTGGCTATTGAAATGGGAAATACTCCTATTTTTTGGATATGTCATGGAATGAGACATGTGAATACCCCAATCTTCTTTTCATAACTGTGCTGCCTGCTGCTTTTTTGCTTTCTTTCTGATACTTGACCTGTCAAACCTTTAACTTTACATTTGAGAAACTTGTATACTTCAACCACCATTAAGCTGTGTTTAAAACTGTTGGGCTCCTATCACCAAAGCTTTTCACTCCCAGAAACTTATTAAATTCTGTTGTGACTTTGGTCCTGTCAGACATGTTTCAGTCAGTTTCCGATTGAAACCAGTTCAAGACCCGGTTCACATATATGCAGTTGGATGTGTTTTGTACCATATTCAATTTGCATGACATAGGAATCAAAATTCTTTTCTGTGGAGCCCGCAGTGCGATTTAAAAAAAAAAAAAAAAAAAATAGGTACAATTTTCAGCCTGGTTCAGGTGCGATTCCCAGTGTCATACACTTTAAAAGTTTGCATTGCAGTTGCACTCGAACCACTGAATGAAACCGGACGGGACTCTTTTACAAATCGCACTGCAAACCAGCCATGCACAAATGTGAACCCAGGCCAATGTGTAGGAAATTGTGCTCACAAACACTTTAGCTTTCTTCGCAGTTTCTCTAAAGGAAAGACCAACACTTTTATAAATATAGTGGTCCATTTTTTTATTAATTTATCTGTCTTGACATTGTGAGAGAAACATTCTACTTCCTACAGTGCAATATTGTACAAATACTGTTGTGACTGTACAGTATGTAAAGCATTTTGTATATAGTCAGTGTTCTATAAATACCTGTAGTAAAATATACAATAAAAATGCTTCAGTGGATATAAAAGTACAGTTGGTTCAACATTGCTTTTATACATACAGATGATTTTTAGGTAATCCGCAGAAGATGGGACAACTCTACAGCCCTGGCCAAAAGTTTTGAGTGACACAAATATTAATTTTTACAAAGTCTGCTGCTTTCAGTTTTTAGATATTTTTGTCAGATGTTATTATGGTATACTGAAGTATAATTACAAGCATTTCATAAGTGTCAAAGGCTTTCATTGACAATTACATTAAGTTTATGCAAAGAGTCAATATTTGCAGTGTTGACCCCTTCTTTTTCAAGACCTCTGCAATTCGCTCTGGAATGCTGTCAATCGACATCTGAGCCACATCCTGACTGATGGAAGCCCATTCTTGCATGATGAATGCTTGAAGTTTGTCAGAATTTGTGGGGTTTTTTTTGTTTTTACCTGCCTCTTGAGGATTGACCACAAATTCTTGATGGGATCAAGGTCTGGGTAGTTTCCTTGCCCTGGACCCAAAATTTCAAAGTGTTGTTCCCCAAGCCACTTAGTTATCACTTCTGCCATATGGCAAGGTGCTCCATCATGCTGGAAAAGGCATTGTTCGTCACCAAACTGTTCTTGGATGGTTTGGGAGAAGTTGCTCACAGAGGTTGTTTTTATCCCATTCTTTATTCATGGCTGTGTTCTTAGAGAAAAAAATTGTGAGTTAGCCCACTCCCTTGGCTGAGAAGCGACCCCACTCATGAATGGTCTCGATGCTGTACAGTTGGCATGACACAGGACTGATGGTAGCGCTCACCTTTTCTTCTCTGGACAAGGTTTTTTCCGGATGTCCCAGACAATTGGAAAGGGGATTCATCAGAGAAAATGATTTTACCCCAGTCCTCAGCATTCCAATCCCTGTACCTTTTGCAGAATATCAGTCGGTCCCTGATGTTTTTCCTGCAGAGAAGTGGCCTCTTTGCTGCACTTCCATGGTTAAGAGGAAGAACAATGATTTCAAGCACCACCCTCCTTTTAAAAAGCTTCCTATCTGTTATTCTAAGTCAATCAGCATGACTGAGTAATCTCCAGCCCTATCTGCGCTGCCGATTGCGGCCCTGGATGTCAATCACCAAGTCCCAGCCAGGGATTACCTGCCGGCGCCCAGCGATTACCGGCAATCTCCGACAGGGAGGAGGGCTGCATTGTTTACAATGCAGCCCTCCTCCCTGTCAGTTTGGGCACACTGCCCCCGATCAGTGCGCTTACAGTGAAGTGCGCACACACACCCGCCTCCTAGTAAAACACTCCCAGCACACAGTTAACTCTTCGATCGCCGCTCATGTTAACCCTTCCCACTCAGTGCCATTAGTACAGTGTCTGTGCTTTTTTTTTTTTTTTTTTTTTTTTTTTTTTTTTTTTCCACTGATCACTGTATTGGTGTCACTGGGGATGTCAGTGACACCAAGTCAGTTCCCCCCAGTGTCAGAATGCCGCCGCAGTCACGCTATAAGTCGCTGATCACCGCCATTACTAGTAAAAATAAAATTTAAAAATCCCAGTGTATATATACCGTCATATGTAAATGCTATAACGTTCATATAAACCAATTAATTTACACTTATTGGGATTTTTGGTAGCAAAGTCATGTAGCAGAATACAAATTTTTGGCCTAACTTTATGACGAAATTTGATTTTAAAAATTTTTTTACTGGACATGTTTTATAGCAAAGTCAAAAATATATTTTTTTTTTCTCTCAGAATAGCGCAAAAAATAAAAACCGCACAGGCGATCAAATACCACTGAAAGAAAACTCAATTTGTGGGGAAAAAAGGACAGAAATTTAATTTGGGTGCAGCGTTGCATAACCACGCAATTGTTAAAGTAATGCAGCTCCCGTAACCCAAAAAATGGCCTGGTCAGGAAGGGGGTAATACTCAGGAGGGCAAAAGTGGTTAATACCTTTGTTAAAGCAGAACTAAATCCTTTGATTTAACTGGTTCCCAAAATAGTTACATTCAAGGCATGTCTGTGTCATAATTGATCATGTGCAGCACTGTGACTGTGTAGATCGAACAGCTTTTTGGCTGTAAAGAATAGGAATGTTTAGTTCCACTTTAAATTAATATTTTTTAATATTGTCACGGATTGGAAATTTAGCATACTAAATGCAAAATCTCAATTTTTGTTGTATGTAGGTATAGAATGTCAAGCCAATCAAGCATCGGCTACCTCTGAAGAGTGTACTGTGGCATGGGGAGTATGCAATGTAAGTTTTTTTTTTTTTTTTTTGTTTTTTTTTTTTTTTTTTTTTTTTTTTTTTTTATCATGACCATGTTCAGTATCACAGCTAGGCTCTTGAGCTTCCACAATGTAATTGAGTAGAAGTCCTGTCATAACTAGCCTGTAGAGGAAAGCTGTTAATACTTACCCAATCTAAGGGCGCTGTGATGGTCATGTGATCTCACCAGCACCTGTTTTCAGGGGAGAGGAGAGAGCAGCAACAATGGTGATGTAGCCCATAGACTTACTATGAGACATCCATTGTCTGCTGTTCCTCCTCCTTCCCTGAAACTGGTGCTGGGAGGTGATCATGTGACTGGACCAGAGCACCTTGTCGTTGTACACATGGGCCAAATATTGGCCAGTTCAACTAAAATCTGCTGACATCCGGTCAGTGTGTACAGCAGCCTGTCCAACAGAAGCCGGTCAAGCACAGTGGCTAAATGGTTAGCACTTCCGCCTGGCTGTACTCGGGTTGTTGGTTTGCATTCCAAACATGGCACCACCTGCCTGGAGTTTGCATGTTCTCCCTGTGCCTGCGTGGGTTTCCTCCGGATACTCCGGTTTCCTCCCACACTCCAAAGACATACTGGTAGGTGGACTGGCTCCTATCTAAATTGGCCCTAGTATGCGTATGTATGAGTTAGGGACCTTAGATTGTACGCTCCTTGAGGGTTAGGGACTGATGTGAATGTACAATATATATGTAAAGCGCTGTATAAATTGATCGCGTTATACAAGTACCTGAAATTAATAAATAAATGACCGTCTTTTGTTGACGGGGCATGCCTATTTATTTCAGGTACTTGTATAGCGCCGTAAATTTACACAGCGCTTTACATATATATTGTACATTCACATCAGTCCCTAGCCCTCAAGGGGCATACAATCTAAGGTAAAGCTGCGATCGCTGGTTAGTGTGTTCTTGGGGGGGGGGGGGGGGGGGGTCTTGTCAGAATACAATAGCACAGCAGGGTATATCACCCCTGCACTAACATCACTTAGTAAGATGACCAACCAAGTGGCTGAATGGAAACAAAAGTTGAGAGAATTAAAAAAAAAAAAAAAAAAAAAAAAAAAAAAAAAAAAAAAAGATTAGGGAAGGATGTTTCAGGCTGCAGGCTATTTCTGTTTTACGGTTGGCATTCTGCCAGTGACATGCGAATACAATTTAGGCATGTTTCACAGGTTATTAAAATTTTTTCTCTGTTGCAGAATGAGATGAAGGCTAAATGGAGCTTTGTGTGTGAGAAACTGATTTGTGATATTTATCAATTGACTTGAATAAAGATATAACATGTCATTAAGTGTTTTGCCCATCCAATTTAGCTAACCGTGGACATAGCCATTCAGCCTAGTATGTTTTAACCTATAACAAATATTAAGATTCCATGACTCAATAAGAATTTGTAAGTGTGCTCCTACTGAGTTGCTGAATTCCGCCTGACATCATTAGATTACACTGCACCAAGAAAGAGAAGAATGTCAGGACTTTGATAAGTCACTGTGCTTTGTTACCTCTGCGAGGAACTAAAACTGTCAGAGGTATGCATTGTTTAGGAACTAATTATGTTATCTCCTATACAACTACAGCACAAGCCATTAGAAGTGTCATATATTAAGTGCTGGATCTCTTGACACCGCATGAGCCTGCATACATAAAATGTTTTGCCTGGCATTTATAAAAGGCATTTACCCCTTAGTAGGCCTCAATCCTTAGTTGCACTTGACCTGAAGGCCGCAGAGATCTGAGGATCAGGGTTAAAAGTAAGTAAGCACTTTACCATTTAGGTAAAGCAAGTGATCTTTAAGTCTCCGGTGGCCTGCCCATTTTTGCACATACTGTATGCTGGAGAGATAGATCTAGGACACAAGCTCTGACCTCCATTTCCCCCTTTGATGCCAAATGCTGCATTGAGAATGAACCTGCTCGGCCATTCAAACAGCCAGAGCCTGCAAACTGAGAAGGAAGACTAAGTGAAGATTGAATCCCTGTCATTGGTGACAGCGTGCCGCTGGAGAGATGTTTTCTAGGTAAGCCTGTCATAGTGTGCTAGTATGCACTGCATACTAGCACATTATGACATGAGCCTGCAAGGAGACCACTTTTGAGTTTTTTTTTTTTTCTCCTGAACATGGTTTACTACTGCTTTAAGACGTGGGCTGAATGCAGTAGTAGTGGGTATATGGAAGAGGGGGAGCAGCAGCGCTTTTCCTTTTGTAGAAGTAATTGGGTGGCAGGATAGTCGCTCTTATCACTTATACTGAAAGCCCAGAGTCCAGTCTTTACATTTTATAGCAGTCTCCTAGCTCTTAAAGAGCTGTGAGCTTGTTTTAAACCCTTATGACTGCCATGATTTGTACTATAACTCATTAGCTATCTAGGATAGGGACAACCATGACATGTCGTAAATATCCTTAGCAATCAAAGACTTGACACATAACTAAATTGAAAAACAAAAGTGTGATTTATATTGCTGTTTACCAGTCCTTAATTTTTATTTTTTTAGCCTTAGAATATTTTTAGCAAGTACAAAAAGCAGTACCTGTTGATCTTGCCAAAATTGCAATGTCCCTGATGCTTGCTGAGAGCTGGGAAGAAAACAAAGTACCTTTTATGTAAACTACTAATCTTATCATCCCCTATATAATGGAGATGAACAAAGGCAGACACATTTCAAGTCAAGCCTTGCTGGCAACCTTGGCTGCCTCCATAGATAAAGTAAAGGAGAGAGTGCAACATCCCAAGGATAGGAAGTGTGTTTGCTAGAGTCCCAGCAACCTCATCCAAGGGCTGGTAAGCTTACAATCGTCTGTTTTTGTTTTGGGTTTTAAAGCAAATATCAGTTGTTATACTTCTATACCTAGTCCTGGACTGTTAGCTGGAATGCACGACTGTTCTCTTAGGTTTTTCTGGGTCTTACCCCTTTTCATTTCCTATGCCACACTATTTTCTTGCTACTACTAAACTACACCATTGAGGCTGTCCATCAATGGTAAGGTGAGTATAGAGGTAGGGCTAGACTCTCAATCTGTTAACCTGTGAATATCTGAGCACTGGGGCATTTATGCTTATACTGAGAGGACCTGATGTACAAGCAACTGTGTAGGTACCTCCTATGTGCTGATGGTGTTCAGTTAGATAACTTTATAACACCTAAAGTGTATCTATACCCAAAATTTGAATAGGGAAAGGTTAAACTCTATCTGGTTTCAGGTCGCTTGCTTGGCACCTTTGCCATCCATAGCTTGGCCTTATGCATTCACTAAATGAATACAAGGTATACAGCAGATAAAAGAAGTATTCAACACGTCACCATTTTTCTAGGTAAATATATTTCTAAAGGTGCTATTGACATATTTTCACCACGTCTGTAACAATCCGTGCAATCCATACATACAAATAAGTCCAGAAATTAAGTTCTGTGTAATAAAATGGAATGAAGCAGTCCTGCCACTTTTTTATCAGTGCAAATCAATATCAGTTGGTTCATTCTCAACTGATGGCCTATAAAAAGGTCTTATTACCATGGTGTCACACAAGAAACATCTCATGATGGGTAAAAGCAAAGCGCTCTCAAGACCTTTGCAACCTTATTGCAAAACATACTGATGGCATTGGTTACAGAAGGATTTCTAAACTTCTGAATGTTCCAGTGAGCACTGTTGGGACCGTGGTGATGTGTTTAATACTTATTTTACACGCTGTATGAATGGTGGAGGTGCTGCGCAAGCCATCCCTCTGTTCAGTATACAGAAGATAGTCTCTTGTAAAGAACCCAGATGATCACAGATCTCACTGTATTTAGTGTGGACTACTACAGTGACTTACAGATGCCATGTTCTTTTTGTGTGTATTGTACTGAGCTCATACCGTGTGTGTGTATTTTAATAGTGAATGTTTTTCTCTAGCATGCATTCCACTTTCATTGCATCTCCCGTTGGTTGAAGACTCGACAAGTTTGTCCACTTGATAACAGAGAATGGGAATTTCAAAAGTAAGAATTGCCAAATACAACTTCTAATAAAAAAAAAAATATATATATATATAATAGATTTAATTAATTGTACAGTACAGGATACCAGCTCCTTTTTAAGTCTTGAGCATGGGTTATATGCTGCCAAATTAAGGTAGGATGCTAAGACAACCTATATAACCCCTCCCATGCCTAGTGATCCTTCTGCTAGGTCTTTCTCAGTTCACTCACTAGTACAGGATGTTCTGCACAAAGACAGCTGGCTGGCAGAGTGTGTACGCCTCCCCAGGAGGTTTCAAAAAGTGGAAAGTGCCAGTGGTTGATCTGACCTGCCTCATCAAATCCCTTATGGTCCACTTACCCAGTGAGCACATGGTTCAGGCCCCCTTAAAACCTCCCCTTTTTTTGCTGCCTTGTCAAGCTTGGCCATGCAACCATTGGTGATGTGTATGGCTGTTTTGCTAAACTCTGGCAGTCTGGGTCAAGTGAATTGCAAGCAATCTGGACCGATTTGGATTGGTACCTTGGTGCTCCAAAACCAGAGCTCCTCTTAGAAGCCTTGCACTACTGTTATATGGCTTGGCCACTTTCCTATATCCAAATTTTTGCCTAGCTACTTATATATCCATACAGATATGCAGAATCCTATGGCTGCACAAATGGTCTGTGTTGACAGAGAATGACTATGAAGAGAACTAGATTCTTGCTTAATAAAATGCCTATGGCAAGTCTGCTACTGGGTGGAAAGCCAGGTCCTTCATTCAGTACTGGATTGGTAAACCTCTGTTACAGGGCCAGCCTGTAATGTTTGTTTTCAACACTGAATCCTACATTAGGCATGCACCTTGGCACTTTGTTGTAGTGTATAATTAGCCACATGGTGCTAGAAGAGGTCCAGGGCTCTGAAGAACCCTGACAAGAGTAAGGTAAGACATGGTTTCCCTGTACTTTGGGCTATAGACCACTTGACCACAAAGTGGATGTATAGGCACAGGAATAGAAAGGGGTTTTTTTTTGTTTTGTTTGTTTTTTTATTTTAATTATTGTGCTACTCCCTGTTGTACTTATCTCTAATGCTTTCTGCTTCATAGGTATTACTGCTTAATTTTAACTGCATCCAGAAAGCCCATTGTGTTGTACTGGGGATGGTCTGCCTAGCACTTCCGGATATAGGGTGCCCCCCCCCCCCCCCTTCCTTCCTGATCTGTGCTTTCAATCCGCTACATCTATTAGTAAAAGCAGCACATATTGCGCTCATTACACATTGTTGGGCAGACCATTAACCCTTTGATTGCCCCTAGATGTTAACCCCTTCCCAGCCAGTGTAATTAGTACAGTGACCGTATTAGCAATGATCACTATATTAGTGTCACTATTGATGTCCGTGTCCCTCCCAGCTAGCTGCAGATTGTCCACCACACCTATTAGTCACACTATAAGTCGCTGATCACTGCCATTACCAGTATATTGTCATAGCTCTGTAAATTCTACTATATATACCATAGTTTGCAGACGCTTTCGCACAAACCAATTAATATACACTTATTGGGATTTTTTTTTTTTAACCTGTAGCAGAATACGCTGGCCAAAAATTTATGAAGAGATTTCATTTTTTTCTTTATTGGATATGTTTTTATAACCGTAGAAAATATAATTTTTCAAAATGTTCTGACCTTAAAATACCACCAAAAAGATCTATTTGTGTGAAAATAATGGTATAAATTGAATTTGCGTACAGTGTTGCATCACTGCAATTGCCAGTTTAAAGGTAGCACTGTGCCAAATAGCAAAAAAAAATGCCCTGGTCATGAAAGAGGTAAAAGCTTTAGTGTTAAGTTTGTTGGTCTTTTCCTATTTGAACTTTATCTTATGATGGTAACTTAGTTGAACACTTGCTGATGTACTTCTACACACAGAATTTTATTTTATGCTTGCTGCTACATGGTATTCAGCATGAAACCTATACACAGAAAGTGACAGCCCAACAAATAACCCATGGAAGTTGTTCCTGCAGACATTGCAGTTTTAATTTACTAGTATATGTTAATTGTCACTTTTGGTAATGCATTTCTATTCTGATTACTTTGCGTGTAAATTTTCCAGTATCTGTAGAAGAATGTAACTTTTTTTTTTTTTTTTTTTTTTTTTTTTTTTTTTTTTTTTCAGGTATGGTCATTAATGGTGTGGACTGGACGAAACATGTTTGCTAATTTATGGATACAAGTTTAAAGTAGAAACCAGCTATGTTCCTGCTCACCACTGTACACCTGTTTGTTTACTTTTACCCTCAATTTTTTTTTCCCTCCTTTTATTCAAAAATGAATTAAAGTTATTCCAGCTTAATAGTCGTCTGTTTTTATCTACATTCATTTGTTTATGTCTGTGTTCATATGCTTCATTATATGCAATATTTGTTTATTGTACATCCACAGAGTGTCTATATTCCTTTATGAATCGGGTTATGCTGCCACCATCAGGTGACTGGATACTGGCAAAAATGATATGACCAGCATTCTTTCCAGGCATATCCCTTTCTTGTTGGGCTTCAGCTTTTTACTAGTGTCTAAAGGTGATGGTCATGTCTATGCAGCTCTCTGCACGAAAATAACTTCTTAACGATTCCATCTGGGATTAGGGGACTAGCTTTTTTCATATCCTACGCCTTTTGAAATCTCAGAGGAATGGATGATGGCCTGAAAGGGTGCTGGTCCGCTTAGGACCCTGCGGAATGGAATCCTGCTCAATGATATATTGCTTGGTGGACAGGTAGGTGGCTATACAGAGCAGGGATCCCTACCTGGGGAGTAGAGTCCCTGAAGGCCCTTGGCAGAGCCCACCATGATTGGACACCAAACCTTCCCACCCCCACAGGGTGGGACAAGGAAAAGTGTGTGTGTGTGTGTGTGTGTCCATATGTTTTAGTGTGTGGTGTTTTTATTGATTTACATGCAATGGTACTGGATTGTACTCCTAGGCAACCCTAAGCACTACATAGCCGTAGTGGATCTTAGAAGCAGTCTGCGAGGCTTCAGGCACCAAATGCAGGAGGAAGAGAGCCTCTCCACTCCCTGCAATCCCTCATGTCTGCCAAGCTGCATGCCCAGTATGGCTGGTGACATGAGGCAGGGTGGAGCACATTTGCGGCAAATCTCCATTGTGGGACTTTTGGTTGCATCAAGTGTTAAAGGGGCTACACACCTTTCCTTGTGGGTGGGGAGATGCTAGCAGAATTTTTTATATGAATTCTCCTGGGGTAACTAGCACACTGATCTTTACTGGTACAGTGCTCTCTTGGCTGACTAGGACTGCTGTCCCTCAGCAAGGGTCCCCAACCAAGTGTTAGCAGGCCATGTGTCATTGCCCACAGAGAGGGGAGAAAGGGTCCAAAATACATCAGATAGGTAGGAACGTGCATGCAGTGCCCTGAGCAATGTATCACTTGGTGGTCGGTGTATTCCATGTGGCTCTGACTCCTCCACCTTTCCAGTATGTTGGCTACTTCTAGGGCATGTTCTTCCAGTTCTTTTGTGAAAGGGGAGGTAGTTTTACCAGCTATCTCTGAGTACAGTAGAAGCTTGTGGAATACTTTCCAGTCTGGACCACATGCTATGGAAGCAGAAGCATTCCTATTCTCCCCCCTCCTTTTTAATGGAAGATTAACTAATAGAGGAGAAGGAAGATAAGATTTTTCAGATAGAAGGGAATGCAAGAATATTCACCCAAGGAATCTATTCCTGAAGGATCCCAGGTTCAGGGTTTATCTCAAACCAAAAAAGGCCTTTCTCTTGTGTTCAATGACACACACAGCTCTCTTCTATTGTTGACCATAGGGTTATATTACCAGCTACAGAAGGACATTAGGCAGAAAAACACTGCATCGACTATGGGCAGTCCTAGCTGATATAAACCCCCTCTCTCTGCTAGAGGCAAACCAGTTATTTCTGCCAAGTGTAGCAGTAGGGACCTAGCTCCCAGGAACCTGTGCGGTTCCATTACTTTTTTTTTTTCCTCTTGTTTTCCTGGGATTTTTTTCTTGAGATCTTCCATTAATAGCCAGGTTGGCCAACGGGCTGGATAATCTAGATCCAATGTCGCCTTAGTTTGGCCAACGAGCGTGTGCAGACCTTGGCTCTGTGCTGAGACGGCCACGCCAAAGCCCCATCCGGGGCAGGCTGGAGAGTTAAACGTCTGGTGTGCCTGTGTGGAGGTCAGCTGGTGCTGAGGTGACACTGCTTACCACATGTTCTCATCACTTTTGTCCCTGTGAGGTATGGGGCTCGATCCGATTGGCCTGGTGTGTGGTGGTCTCTCCATGGGGGGGGGGGGGGTTGTTGGTGTCCCTGGTTTTCCTGGGCCCTCAGCAGGTGGCGCTTCACGTGGTTGGCCCAGACAGAAATTTAGGCCAAAGCTTTGTGGCCTATTGGATAGGCTGGGGTGCCACCATTTTTCTGGTGGGCATTCACCCTTATGTTGTCTGCCTCTAGCATCTGTTTCCTGATTGGAAGACTGCAGCTGGCGGCCATCTTATTGGTGCCCTGCCAGTGCCCCTTTTTTTTTTTTTTTTTTTTTTTCCCTCCCCTTTGCACTTGTGGTCAGTAGAGGTTCATCCTCTCCCTTAGTATGTGCCCTGTAGAGAGCCTGCCATGTGGTACTCTATTGGATTCCCAGAGGCCCTGTGAGTGCCAAAAAAGGCGCTTTGTTTTCAAAAATTTCTTGAGGCTATAAACAGCAGGATTTAGATGTCAGGCTGCACACAGGCATACCCCTTTTGAGGATGAATGCTCAGTTCGAAACGTGTTAAGGAGGAGCCCTTGCAAGCCGTTGACGTCAAGTCGTCGGATCACGGGGATCCGATGGCCACTTCATTATACCAGCTGCATCTTAAATCCCCCAGCACTATCTCCAGTGAATGTCCCAGCGCCCTGAAGAGGCCGAGCTATTTATACTGGCCATCATATCCTGGCATCTACCCCCAGGCTACATCCCGGACTACCCCTAAGGGACCCGTGAATGACCAGCATTATA